ACAAAATTCTCATGCACTTGCACCAAAAATGTTTTATAGAACCTTTGACCTTGACTGCACAATTGAAAAGTCTCTAGAATATCCTTCCCCTTCCCTCTGCCTACTCAAACATATTTCATCCTTCAAATACCACTTCTTCCTCCAAGGATTTTCTCTCAACTTCTATTCTGATTTCCTCTATTACTTATTGTCTGCATAATTCATTTTGATCAATAAATCTGATGTGTCTTTAAATGTTTGCTTGAGTTAATAGTCAAAAGAAATCTAGGTTTAAAACTGTCAGCAGGCAATCACAACTTCATGAAACTTATGTGAAAACCAGGTTTATTACAAGAGAAATGGACATCTGTATGGAACCCAAAGACAGAGCAAAGAGTTCATAATCCAAACAGAAGGTTGCATATTTATGACAGTACAAAAAAGGAGGAGAAATCAGAAATTTCCTCCTCAATGGGGGTGTCATGAGAAGGGGTAAAGGTCCAGCAAAGATGGGAAAAGGACAAAACCCTTCCTGAAGGAGAGAAGCAAGGTGATGGCAAAAGGAGCCATGTTTTCCCTTAGGGACTGCTAGACCATGTAGATATGATGTCCTGCTTATCTACAAGGGTCTCAGCTGCACAAGCAGTTTCTCAGCCTAGTGTAGACTGAATGGCTCCTGTTCTGACTCCCAAGGATACATAGGGAATCCAACTCAGGGTGCAAACAACAAATGTCAGTTGGAGAGGGGAAGGGCTCATCCTTGACACATTCAGAGCCTCTGGCATACTTTGGGTCCAGTGTTTCTGGAAAAATATGGCAACTCAAAAAGATAAGTTCAAGAGATCCCTTACCATTCCTTAGCAAACCTTATTTCAAATTCTTGCTAGTTATATGAGCTTAGGCAAGTTATTTGATTTCTCTGTGTTTCCTCACTTCTTTCATCTAGTATTAGAATGATAGCACTTACAATATCTTCTAGGGCTATTTTAAGAAAATTTTTCTATAAATCTTTATGAGTTACATCAACAAACTATCATTATTGTTGCTGTTACTCAAATGTTATATCTTGCTTCTCCAATTAATATATTCTCTTTCTGAGGGTAGTTTGCTACAATGGATAAGGCACTGAACCTCAAATCGGGAAAGTCTGGGTTGCAATTCTACTTCAGGTGCTGATTAGCTATGTGACTTTTGGAAAATTACTTAATGATCTAGGTCTCTATTCCTTTTTTGAAAAATGAAGGTATTTGGCTCAAAGGTCTCTTAGATACCTCCCAAATCTAAATCTCTCATCCCTATTCTTTTGCACTACCTCATAACTCTTATAACAGTGGCAGATCACTAGAATAGAATATGTATTATACATTAGAATATATATGTATATATGTATATATGTTATAGACTATGTTCTATATAATAGAATATATTGTACATATTCTGCATATTAGAATATATGTGTATATATGAGACTTCACACATATACACACATACATAAATACACACATATATATGGAATTTAATATTTAAAGTAATCATATGTATGTTTTTGGTGGAATAACTGTTCGTACAGGTGTTTCAGATAATATTAGTCATTTATGATAGAAACATAGATTTTTAATTCTATACTATGATTTTTTTTATCATTTTAATATAATAAAATAAAATTTATGTTTTTCAACTTTGGAAATCATATCTTTAATAAAACAAGCAAGCTTGAATGGTTTATAAGCACTTATATATTGCACATAATCAATTTTCATTAGATTTCTTTGTATTTTTTTGAAGATACATTTAAGTCAATTTGCCAAACTAGAGAACTAAGAAAAAATCAGTAAATTATATATGGTCTTTTAGAGATAACATGCAAAATACTGACAAGCTGTTGGAGGACATGTTTGATCTGTTTTGTGTATTAGACCTGTTTTTGCTTTTGCAGCTTAATGTGCTATAAAACTTTGAATTATTATTAATATTAATTTCTTTGCTCATTTGTGTATTTATTCAGTTTCAAATATATTCAACATCAGGCTGAATCATTTGGAAAACTAATGAATCTCAGAATTCCAATGACATTCCCCAACTTCCTTTTTACTTAAAAGTATTGCTGTGGATAGAATCTATCTTGATAAGGAAATGAACTAGCTGTTAAATCAATAATACAACAGATATGTATAACAATTCTATGATTTTGATTGACACTATAATAGCAGTCTTTTCTAAAGAATCTATACCATGAAATTGGCATTTATAACTTTTACCAATTCAGGCTGGAAATAAATGAATTATCTCTAAAGCCTTAATAAAGAACAACAAAAAAATATTGATTGATTGAATAAAGGAATATTTATCAAGCACTCACAATGTGCTAAGCATTATGCTTAATTTTCAATGGCATACTCTTTTCTGTCTAGGAGTTTACGTTTTAATGTAATAAAATGAATAATCATAAGGCTTTTCTTGGTAGTGTTTTGACAGAATTTTCCATTATTATTTTTAGTTTTATTGGAAGCGGATTGTGAGCTACATATGGTTATCTGTCATACTCCAAAACTTGATTGACTCCACTTATGAAAGATAGTGTTTCAGTAGCAAGAAGACTTTGAAATGAGTTTCACACAAGATCAGGCAGCTGGAAAGAACACTGAATCAGATATAAGGAAGGGAGGATATTTAAAAAGACAGAGGAAGGGGAGTTAGGGGAAAAGAATAGAAAGGATAAACATATATATACACAGCATAATCTGATAATAGAAGGGTAAAGACATTTATTCCTATAGAATGTAAGCTACTTGAGAATATGGATCATTTTGCTTGGGATTTTATACCAGTGTTTGTTATGTCATTAATAAATATTTGTTGAGTACTAACTACTAAATATGAGGTTATGTCTCTACTACAGATTCCAAGGTCAACAACTTTAAGGATAATAATACCCTTGTGGAAATTCTAACTCAAAATAAGGAAGTAATCTTTGTGATGCAGTGAGTCTCTTGTTACTTGAAATTCTAATAGAAGCTGACTGACCATTTTTTCCCTGTTTACTGTAAATTATATGTGTGCACTAGGTAAGAAATTGATAATTTTAAAGATTCTTTCCAACTCTAAGGTTCTTTTAAAATTCTATGATGAAATCTTCTGATAGTTCACTACTTTATGAGGGAGTCTATTTCATTTTAGACAGCCCTACTTATTTAAAGAAAAGTCTCCTATATATTGAGCTAAAATGTATCTTATAGTTTTTACTCCCTTAGCCTCAGTTTCACCTTCCTTTTAATGCAATGTTCTCTATATTTTCTCTTGCTCATGCTGGACTTTCAAAATATTTGTGCACCATTATTATATTTCTATTAAGTTTTCCCTTCTCCAGACTGAATTCTACCTACTCTCTTCATATGTATTGTTGCAAGATCCCTCACCACCTTGTCGGCCATGTACTCAAATGTACTAATTTATATTTTAGATTTGACCAGACTTGTCACTTTAAATATCTTTGGGAGCTTATTTATTTTTGTTAAGTGAATTTATTTCAACCTTATATTATATAAACAAATAATCTTCTCAAAAAATCTAAATTCTAGAAAAATGACTTATGTTCCCTTATATACCCTTACAAATTATTAAAAATAAGAAGTTAGCAAGGAAAGCACTCCCATTTCTTTTCCAATACCCTTTTCTGTGTTTTCAGATAACATATGGGAATTCCAACTGTACTTTCAAAAGTCATTATCCCCATTAGATTGTAAACTCTTTGAGGGAAGGGACTGTCTTTTAACTCTTTTTGTCCACCTAAAATTTATTACAATTGCTGGAACACAACAAGCATTTAATAAATGCTTACTGACTGACACCTTATTTAATCTCAGGGAATGACTTTAGTGGCATTCAAATTTCAATCTAGACAGAGGGAGACAGTACAATGAAGTCAAGCTGGGCCCTTGAGCCCCTTTAAATTTTATCATGTAAGAGAATGAATATTTTGCTACATCAACCTCATTCTAAATTGCTATTGAAAAATGATTCTCACCAGACTCATATATATATATACACATATATGTTCTATAATGGTGTACATAGGCAAGAATTCATTTCACAACATGAATAAGTATGATTGACATATCCAGATGGAAATATTCAAATTGTCAGATCTCTTTAAATTGTACCATAACTTCTTATTTTATAATATTCCAAATGACCCAAGGTAATAAGATGAAAGGGACAGCATCCATTCATAATATCACAGGATTCCTATTAAATAATAATTAGTCCTTTTTGGGGGTAGCAGTTATTCCTTAATATTCATTTTCAGATTCCCCAAGGAATGTTTTTTTTCTTTAATGCTGTAGAGTATTTATTATTTAAATACTAAAAATCATTCTGTATAGTATTAGAGTCTCTTCTTTGTATAAAAGCATAGACAAAATTAAATTATAATTGGTTCCCATGAAACAAAATTAATCCTACAAATCACTGATCTACCTAAATATGTTAGAAATGCATTAAACAGATTCAATTTAGCAGCTTTATATTTTACATAGACACTTTCAATTGGTTTTGAAAATCAAAAGATCTGTGTTTAATTAAATATAATTTACATCATTAAAGTGAAAAGTCATGCATTTACAAACAGACATTGCAAGAAATATTATTTATTTGAATGAAATACATTGTGAGGCAGTGGAAAGAGTACCAGACTTGGAGTCAAAAAACTTAGGTTGAAATGCTAGTTCTAGCATTTATTACCTGTGTGACCATGGGGAATTCATTTAACATTTCTGAAACTCAGTATCCTCAATTCTAACAGAAGGATAATAATACACAAAATACTTATCTCAGGGAAGCTAGGGGACATTGTAAATTCAAAATTGGCCTCAGACTCTTACTTGCTCTGTGGCCCTAAGTAAGTCACTTAATCCTGTTTACCTCAGTTCCCTCATCTATAAAATGAGCTGGAGAAAGAAATGGCAAGCAGTTGCCACCTGGGAGTTTCTCTTCCTTTATCTCTGGTCCCCCATGGTCGTGACCTGGTGGCTGCCAGTCGCCCATAAGGGGGCCAAGCCTGGGGCAGGTGCTGCCCACACTTCCATGGGCAAGAGGTTACAGCAGCAATTGATGCCCCTAATGGTGTCTGGAGACAAAGGAATTTCTACCTTCCCAGAGTCAGACAATGTCTTCAAGTGGGTTGTGACCATCCATGGGGCAGCTGGGACAGTATATGAAGATCTAAGGTGCAAGCTCTCCCTGGAATTCCCCAGTGGCTACCCATGTAATGCTCCCACTGTGAAATTTGTCACACCTTGTTACCATCCTAATGTGGACACCCAAGGCAATATATGTTTGGACATCCTCAAGGACAAGTGGTCAGCTCTGTATGATGTCAGAATCATCCTGCTGTCTATGCAGAGCCTGCTAGGAGAATCCAACATTGACAGCCCATTAAACACACATGCTGCTGAACTTTGGACAAACCTCAGAGCCTTTAGAAAGTACCTGCTGGAAACCTACATGAAGCAGATGACTAGCCAGGAGCCCTGACCCTGGCTTCCCAGTCTACCTTCCTTCATCTTGTGTGTGTGTATGTGTGTGTGTGTCTATCTTTTTCCCTTCCTCACAACCTATCTTCTCTTTTCTGTACAGGACTCTATTTCATAAACTGTTTTCCTTTTCTTCTTCTTTTTTTCTTAAACTCTAGTCCAACTCTCAATATTAATGTATAAATAAATAAAGTTTTGTTATTTTGGTTAAAAACAAGAAATGGCAAACCACTCTTATATCTTTGCCAAGAAAACCCAAAATGGGGCCATGAAGAATTGGACACAACTGAAATGACTGCACCATACTTATCTCACATTGTTGAAAGCATCAAATGAGATGATATATGTAAAGTGTATTGCTAATCTTAAAGGACTCGATAAATGTCCACTGCTGTTAACATCCTTATTATCTCATTTGGAGAAACATTTATATGTGCTATTGTGAAAAAAAACAAACAAACAAAAAACAAGATTTTGGGGCTGAGCAATCCCCATTGAGAGCCAAGAAGCTAAAATCTAGTTTGGATGGAGAACATTTATAAACTGAAAAGCTAGGGCAGTATCATACCCAAGGTTCTTCCTATTTCTGATGATTTAGAGCTGAGATGGTTCCAATGAATTTAACAGATTGCTATTTCCAGTTTTTCAGATTGAATTGATGGTTGAATGACTGAAATGTTGATTACCCAAAGATTTTGGTCACTTTACAGTTTTATTTCCTGCTATTGTGCCAGCGTGAATGTAAGCAAGGACTGCCAAGGCTGTCCTAGATGAAGTCACCTCAGTTAAGCTCTGGGAAAATAAACCACCTCTTTCTTCATAGTGACTCTACAGATCTTAAAGTTAGGACTTAAGAAGGAAAGAAGGAAGGAAACAAGCATTTATAAAGTGCCTACTCTGTAGCAGGCCCTATGATAAGTACTTTATAAATATTATATTACAACAATCCTAGAAGGAAGGTATTATTATTCCCATTTTACAGTTGAAGGAGCTGTGGCAGATAGAAGTTAAATGACTTATGGAGGGTCATACAGCTAGGAAGGAAGGATCTGAGACCAGATTTGAACTCATGTTTTCCTAACTTAAAGCCCATTGCTCTATCCCCTGTATCATCTAGTTTCTATCAGGTTGTGTTGTTGCTTCCAAGTATTCAGACATATATGCCTTCCAATTCAGAAGGTATTCAAAGCAGCTCTATTATCCCATTTGTTGAAGATATTTTGAGCAACTACCCATCAATGCTCATTACCAATCAATAATTAGGCATATTGAGTATATATTCAAGAGTATATTTCATGTTCAAAGTAAATCCACAGTAGGAATGACCAGATAGCATGCAGACAGTCAAGTCTGATAGTTCTAAGTAAGTCTGACCATATTCATTATCTATGTGATGGAAACCTTTGGCCATTTTATAAATTTGCATGAAGATTTGCTGGTAAAAATGTTCTGGAAGCTAGCACTGATCTGTTATGCTCAAGAATTCCTTAGAGATGCAATGGTGTTTTGCCCATTGTTTATATTTATCCATTTTGACTATAGTTGTCCTACCATGGAAAGCCTATAACTATCCAAGTTAGTAATTGACTTTACTAAGTGGGATAGTTGTTGACAAGAGGAAGAGATATTAGATGGATGATAGTGTAGTTAAATGAAATCAGAATTTCTTGAAAGACTTGAACAAAGTAGAAACCTTTACTATGTCTAAGTCAACTCAAAAGATGGTCTTCAAGTCAATTAATCAGGAGACTGCTTGACCATTTGTGGCTTAAGGCATATTTAAAATGACTTTGTTGAAGACAAAGATCACATGTTTATCAAATTTATAATTGGAAGAACTTGTACAGATAACCACCACATTAGATGACAGAGTCAGGATCCAGACATGATATAAAAAGGTGAAGAGTGGCATGTAAGTACGCTCTGGAATCTGGAGGACCTGCATTCAAATCTGGCCTCAAACAAATAACACTCACTAGCTGTGTGATTCTGGGCAAGTCACTTAGCCCCATTGCCTAGCCAAAAATAAAATAAAATTAAATTAAAATTAAAAAATAATAAAAAACACAAAAGTTTTTGAAAAGAAAGAAGAATGGCATGTGGTACAGTGGAAAGGGTGTTAGATGTGGGTTTGAATCCTGACCATGCTAGGCACTACCTATGTGGCTTTGGGCAAGGAACTTAATTTTCCTGGGCCTCTTTCTTTACCTGTGAAATGAAAATATTGCACTAGATGTTTTTTTAAAATCCTTTTTCTAGTTCTATTACTAAAATCAATGAAGAAATTTCATATGAATAAGTCTTTTAAATGAGTTCAAAAATAAACTTAACAGAAATGACTTTGTCAAAATGTGTCTAGAAAATGATGCACACAGGACATATGGAAATGATCCAAAACAAGACAAACAGATAACTATCCTTTTGTTTTAGTGGACTTCAAGCTCACTGTGATTTATCTGTGTAACTCCACAGCCAATGAAGCTAATACAAATTTAAGCCACACTAAGAAAGGCATAAGGCTTTGAATGAAGGAGGAAATTGTGTTGGCTGTATTCCATCCTATTCCAACCAATTATAAGTTATTTTATCCACTCCTAGTGGCCACATTTTAGGAAGGACATTGACAAGATGAAATGTGCCCAGATAAGGTGACCAGCAACAGAGGTGTATGAGGAAGATAACTTCAAGGAACTGAATATTTAGTTTGGAGGAAAAAGAAGATTTTAGGGAAAATTGGTAAATTACATGATAACTAACTTCATGTATTTGAAGTACTGGCACAAGAAAGAGGGATTATATTTCTTCTGCTAGGCCCCTGAGAATAGAAAGAAGAGAACTGGATATGAAAAAAAAGCATGGCAAAACTCCATAGAGAGTTTGCAAAAGTATAATGTGCTTCCTCTGGAAATAATAAATTTCACCATGGATGTGATAGCAAATGTTTAACACCTGGCTCTCTGAAAAAAAAATCTGTTACCAGCATGTTTTTAGGTTTAATCTGCCTTAACATTTTTTTATCATTCTGTTGTCTAGACAATAAAAAATAAATAAAATCTTACATGTTATATATGTATTATATATTATAGCATAGTATAGCATAGTATATATATATATATATATATATAATATTAAATTATAGTTTTTTCCCCAATTTCTGAAGTATAAATATTTACAGTGAAAATTTCACAATCATCTTTTGAGAGCTGGTCTGAATGACTGCAGTAAACCTCTGGCATCCCTTCACTAGAAATCTTAGAGCAATGGCTATGTGAATTCTTGTTTGGTATACTTTAAAAGGATTCTTCTTCGGGAATGGGTTAAATTAGATGTCTCCTATAGTTCCTTTCAATGAAGATTCTATAGTTCTATGAATCCATATGCACATCCAGAGATAACTGTCTTGGGCAACAAACTCTTGGGTTGGGATTGAGAGATTGGAAGAGGGGGAAGACCACCCCTCCAGTGGAAAGTTTTGGAGGATAAAATCTCCATTGAAAAAAGCAGAAGGGCCTTGCAAGTTCCTAGACAGGTAATTTGAAGGCTTTTAGGGCTCAAATGATCCTTACAGTCTTCTTAGATCAAAATTCTAACTTTTTTGTGCATGTCATCTTCTCCTCCCTCCTTTAGCTTTCTGTGATGAAGTCTATGGACCCCTTCTCAATATAATGTTTTTAATTGTAAAATAAAATATATAAGATCATAAAGGAAACTATTTTTTAAATTAAGTTGTTTTATATATATATATGTTTTTATATATACATACATACAAAACATACATACATTCATATATATCTGTATGTATGTATGTTTTGTATGTATGTATATGTAGTACATAGACTTCAGGTCCTCTTTTATATATTCAATAAAAACGATTTTTTAAACTTTTTTTGGGGGGGAGGTGAGGAAATCAGGGTTAAGTGACTTGCCTAGGGTCACACAGCTAGCGAGTATCATTTGTCTGAGGCTGGATTTGAACTCAGGTCCTCTTGACTCCAGGGACAGTACTCTATCCACTGTACCACCTAGCTGCCCAAAATGATGGTTTTATATACTCTAGGTTCTCAGACAACTAGTCTTGCAGATTCACAAACCCTGAGACCATTTGATTCATAATACGCCAACCTGCTCAATGATTTCTGCTGCTAGTTATGTGCTTTTAGTGTCAATTCCTCTTTAATGCATGACCAACAACCAACATGTACTGATGATTCAGCCACCACCTCTGGGTGGTACAAGGACAATTTCCATCTGGGAGCAAAGTGTTGGTCCCAAATTCTAAGGAGCTCAAGGATAAAAATTTATTTGACATAGTGCTATGGTGTCTATAGAATCCCAAGATGCAATGACTGAAGTTGAGGCGGGGGGCAATTCATATATAATTAAGAAGTTGAAATGCCAGAAACACCAGAAAGCTGGTCATTTGGCTATCTCAAATTAACTTTGCAAAGCTCCTACCTACACAAATTTTGGTCTTTATTGCAGTGGAACAAGTTCCCCTTCCCCTAACTATAAATACCAAAGGTAATTGTACATAAATCAAAAAGACCTGAAGTCAAAATCAACCTCCAATGTTAAATCATTATAGTCAATATCCTTGAGCCTCAATTTCTGCATCTTTCAAATAAAAATAACAAAATCTGTACAATCACAAAATCACAGGATTGTGAAATTTAAAGGATATAATGTGTAGATATTGATTTGCAAGTTTTAAAGAACTATATGACGTCAGATATTATTATTGCTATCATAAATTGCTGGTATGGCCATGGGCACTGTTTGACAGTCCTCTCCCTGATTTTCCCTCTCTAAATGGGGCTTTGGGCATGTACAAAGGTGACCAATCCTCTCTTGTTTCTTGCTCATCTGTTTTATGATGAAATCCTGACTTTCTGGCTCTTGGTGCTTGCTCTAGTAACCAGCTTCCCACTTATGTCAGTATCTTGAAACTTGGCACTTTGTAGAAATCCAAGCACAAACCCAGGCTGACTATTTGAATTATGC